GCTAGTGTTGTTACCTTTTATATGAAAAATATCAATATCTCCAAAAAGCATGAAATTAAAACTTAAAAGAAAATAGAACCGAGTTCAAACTTTATAAAAAGTGATAAATAATACTTTTATCAAAAGCGCCTTATTCAAGAAAATGCTATTGAGGTCGAGCCTATCATTCGTTCGATTTTTAGTCAGTAAAATATGAACGATTTCATTCAAAGCTATTTGGTAAAATGTTTTAATACTTATGAATCACTGCAAAGTCGACATGTAACAAAAAAAGACAGATAGTTTGGAAATCTTCGTAAAGAGATCATAATACTCAGTGGAATCAAGATTTCATTCAGTACTAGCTGACCCGACAGACTTCGTCCTGTCAAAAAGATTTGTAATGTGGCAGTTTTTTTGCCTACGTATTGTGCTTGTAATTTAATATGAACTTTATACCATAGCAATAAAGCTCAAATTGACTACGTTTTAGTTACAAATCATTTGTATGGGAAAAAGAAAAGGGCTATTTTTAGGGTTTTTCCAGCAATAATTCTAATTTTTCTTGCCGTAAAAACCATCCTTGAACTTCAACGAACATTTTAAAAAAAGATTTGGCCAAATTGGTCGAGGCGTTGTTGAGTTATGCGCTTACCAACACATTTTGCGATTCATTTTTATATATAAGATTATGTTTTTTGTTTGTTTTGTTTCATAGTGGCTTCTTCTAATATCCCTGGAGCACATGCGTTCCCAAAGGATGGAATTGAATTAAAGTGTGAAAATTAGCCATGACCATAATTAGAACCTATTGCGGATTGGTCGCCGGGACCGACAGCTCAACTTGCCTTCCGAGAACGAGAAAATGGTTTTTCGGTCACCCATCCTGTAACCGACCTTTGAGAAAGTTGTTTAGCAACCGTAACGCAGAGCGCGCTAACCACAGCGCAAGCTCCTAGGTCAACGAAGAATATATTTCAGTCTAATTTGGAACAACATAAAAGTGCGTGCGATGGAGTGTAGGAAAATAATGACTCGGTATTATTACCCTTTATATCAATAATTTCCAATTATTTTCCTTTAGTGATCTTGATAGCGAATTCAATATTTTTACTACCATAAATCATTTTTATACTAAAGAAGTATTCTTTACACGGTTATAGACAGCTCATGAAATTTTATTTAGTAGGTAGCTCACCCATTGACTGCTTTTGATAATCGAATCAATTATTATGATACAGCGTGTGCCAGGGGTGGTAGAAGAAATAATTTCATTTTACAACGCTAGCTGCCTGAAATGATGTACAGAAAATACAATCTTAGAATTGCAACAAACAACAACTTATAATTAACTAGCTTTGTGTAGTTTGTATTATACATAAGTATAATCGTCGGCGCAGGTCAGTGTAAAATCGCGTCTTATTTCCGGTATTATAAGTATTTTATAATGCAGCGCGATAGTTTAAAAGTGAATAAACATTTTTAGCACAGTTGCATTTAAATGTCCGTTAAAATTTTCATTAGTATAAAGTGACATTACCGATACAAATTTTCAAATTAAGAACAATTGTTACAGTTTAAAGTTGTCATTAAACCATAAAAAAGTTTGTGCAACTGACCGCGATTTGTTGAAAATCGCATACCGTTGTGTTCTGTTCATCAAAAATCCGTTGTGTAATTTCAAAGATCTCAATGTACAGATAGCTTGAAGATATTTTTTTTTATGTATACATACGTTTAATAGGTCAGATGACATGGCTTATGGCTATTTAAAGAGTTACGACGAAGTGAATTTCGACACATGACAGCTGACAAAGAATTTTTAAAATTTTCTATGATTTTTCTTCAGTACCTCGTTACGTGTACACGAAAACTAAATTACTATAACACGAAATTAATTATAAGGATTATGAATAATCTTAGCGGTTAAATACGTTATCATTTATTAACCTTGCGAGAACGTCTTGTTTTCTCTTCATTATTCACTCAAGGTAGAATACGCACGTCACGGTCAGCAGTGATATTTTCGACTTCAGTAGAAGATATTACAGTTCTAGTTTTGTATATACTAATATTATAAACAGGTAAGATTTGATTGTTTGTAAGCATCGAAAAGGCCCCAAAACTACAGGGCAGATTTTAAAAATTCTTTCATCTAGGGGCTATCATACGCGGGTGTTATATACTATAATTTACGCGGGTGTAGTCGCGGGAAAACAGTTAAGTAGTTATTTTCGTAAGTAGTAACAGTTAAGTAGTTATTTTCATTATAGGAAATCAGGCGGGAATCCAACTCAAAAGAAAGTGGTTACAACCGCCCAAAAATCGGTCAAATGCGATATGGAGTGTGAATATGCTTCATTCAGTACGCTCACGATGATTGTATAGTTAAACAAATTTTAAACCGATTTAAAAAAAGGAGAAGGTTTTTCAGTACGACCGTAGGTATATTTGCTTTTTATGTTTTCTCTACACAATATCTTGAATCATGAAGTCGCATTTAAAATAGGTATTATTTCTCACTTTTTAAAGTTTGAAGGCAGTTCAATATTTGAAAAAAGAAAAAGATGTTGTTACTGACAGGACACCGCACTGGCCTTCCCTAGCGCAAAATGTCATTATAATTGGATTAATTAGGATATAATGTATTGATTGTGGCAAAATGTGAAATTTTAGAATAGCGCCTTTGGTGGAAATTTTCATAAAAATTTTTAGCGCCACCGATAACGAGCAACTCAACTCACGAAACTCCTAACTCAGCAACATGTTCTCATTTTATTTTATATTTCAATTTATAGGGAAGACGTGAGTCAGACAGTGTTGCCAACACTATATATGGAAAATGATTATTATATTATGGTAAATTTGAAAGTTTATATTGCTTTACGTATTAATATTTATATTATAAAAATATTATTACAAATTCGCCAGTCAATCGGCAATATTCACTTCATTTTGCTACTTTGACATGTACTTTAATGATAAAGAGAGAGAACGAATGATAGTGAATGATGATTATGGATTCGCAATCAGTGTTACCAACTAGGTCGTTTATGTATAAAATAATAATATGCAGACAGTTCCCAAGTAGCCTAAAACACCATTATATCAAACTTATAATAGCACGAGTCCAAGCGTTAAGCATTATAATAAAATCGTATATCAACCGTATTTCTTTACAATGCAATAGCACTACAACTTTTGTATAATAGCATTAATAAAGTCGGGTAAAAGCATTCTAATAGCCACAAACAGTTCAATTAGCACCTTAAAGTGCTAATTGAACTTTTTGTGACTATATTACAATTGATATGCGGAAATCAAAATTATAATACGTTAATTTAATGTTATTAAAATTCTTACTGTTTTATTTCCTTTGTAAAAAAAGTATATTTAATAGATTTTAAAAATATATTATCGGTTTAAGTTATTGTTGTTACATTTTCTCTTGGCTGGTCTTTTAAGTATTTTTTAATATTGAACAGGAGAGTACTAACATTTATACAGGTCGTTATGAGTGAAATAAGCTGCAAACATCAGTTTGTGGAGTAAAATATACAAGTTTATTGTGTAAAATATACGCGGCTTCGCAAACTTCCTTTAATATAATAAAAATAATAGAAAATTTAACCTAGTAGCAAAAAATTTTGTTGAATTTTAGGCTTTTAGCATTGTTTTAGCAACATAATCGCTTTTATAGGTATCTGTGTACAAAATAAATGATTATTTGCCCCTTTTCATCTGACACAGTTGACTTTAAATATTATTGTAAGAAATGGAAAAAGAAAGCAAATGGCGACTCGTAAAATTAAAGCGTTAGGTATTCAAATATAGTGTAGTAGAGCTGTTAATCGTATTATGGTTAGACACAAAACTAAGAGCTCGTAATTCACCGTATAACACACTCCCATTTTAGGTACAACCGTATTTTAACACTTCAGAAGTATCTTATAGTGCTTATAATCATCAAACGATTATTTCCTTTTTATTTTGATTTTTAAAAGCTTCAATTAAATTAGAATACTCTTTTTTCAGTTTTCTTTTAAATCCACCTGTTTTCTTTGTTTTTCCCAACGTTTTTTGTCCAAGGCGCCAGCAATGCGTATAAAATGCCACAATTACAATACAATACATAAAATAATTTTACATAAAAAATAATAACGATCTATTTATGACTTGTATCTCTATAAATAACTTAATATTGATCAAAATATAGCCTAATGTTTGATAAAAGCATAGATTAAGAAGATAAAGGAGCTTGAGCTTGATTAAAGAATACTTTAAGAACAAATCGGTGCTAAAGTTTTATTTGTTCTTTATTCAATGTGTATATAGGATAAGCATTAAATCGATACAACCATAGGCCATTAGAAAACCTTTGTTTCTAGAAAATTACTAAATACAACTAAGTGCACTAAATAATATTACGTTAATACTTATATAATATATAATGTTTTTCATATCACCGAAATACGATAACAGCTTTATATTAATATTACCCAATACTTAAATATGAGTTTTGACATTGGTATACTTTTTTTATTAATCATAATATAGCATTAAGCATTATTAGATAAAATAAATGCCTTTAAACAGATTCGAAACTTGACCAGTGCTGATTAAAAATGTTAGTATGACTTTAGGACACAAATCGGTACTTATTTTAGTTAATATATTATTTATGTGCTACTTGGGTTGTTCTGTTAGTTTGACAGATCGATCAAGGCTTCAGTTAAGGTATGAGCTGCTGCAACGTGAACATTAGAAATATTAATAAATATTGAACTCAGAGGTAATCAAATTATTACAAACCACTTTTAACTGATCTCAAAATACATTTATTGAATTTCGCATAAGTGATTTCTTTACACTAGTATCTGTTGAGAAAGATGAGCATGTACGTACATACCTACCGACTTAATGATGTACTATTTACCTTCATTTTGATTCGAGTCTTCTTAAATTCTTAATTTCTGTAGTCTTCTGCTTGCGGAACTAACACATTCTGATAAGATTCTCTATTAAGATCTGCTCTTATAAAGAGGTAGTTGTGAGCTGTTAGGGCAGCGAATTTTAACGACGCAATAATTTAAAAAAAAACTATATAATTATATAATAGTACAATATTAATTACAGTGTTGGTATTTGGCCAGTCGCTATTTGACCTACCGGTATTTGGCCTGTCGGTAATTGACCTGTAGACGTGTTCGTTAGGTTGGACACTGCTATGAAGGTGTTGAATCTTTCTGGATCTTTCAAGGTCCGCAATAGAAAGAGGCTGGTCTCGCGATCAGGGTTCGTGGGAGGGACAGGTCGAAACGGGTCCACTTTGATTCTCTTCTCATATGCTAAGCAGCACACAGTGCCAATGACCAGGAACATTACGAAAGTGATTTTCTGTAAAAAATAATGTCCTAATACAATATTATTATATTTGAAATACAAGAGACAATTCGAGCTCATCTACTATGGATACGAAAAGTTTTTGCTCGAAGTATTGGCATGTATGTATGGTATCTAAGCAAGTGAAATAAGAGCTTATTAGTTTCTCGTTCGTAACTAATTTCAATTTATGCAATGTGACATATGTGAAAGATGTTATAAATAAATATTTTGGGTACGCCCTTTAGGGGTGCAGCAATCATAAAATAACCTTATCTTAGGCTGGAGGCGGCAAAAGGTCCGAATCAACAACTTTTTACATCCAGGGCAGAAGTCAGCCACTGACTAGGGAGCAATTATTGCTTTATTGCTGCTATTAGGTTTTAATTATTAGTTTTAAGTAAAGATTACTTAAAAATAATAATTAAAACCTAATAATCTAGTTAATTAGATAATCTATGTATTTGACATTTTCTTAATACATTAATTGATCACCTATTACATTTTTTATCTCATTAAACCTTATATTATTTACATATTTTGTTTCTGTAAATTATTGTTATTAATATATTTCATTTTATTGTTTATGATTTTCAATTTGTTACTTCTCGTTTATTAATTCTTTTATATTGTAATAAGTTTTACTTATTAAATATAAATTTAACTGTACAATAAACTGTTGTTGCACTTTTCAGGTATTCGGAACTTGATTATAAATTTTAATAGTCATACAGTGAGGTCCAGTGGTGACTAATTTTAGTATTGAAAAAAATATGCTTTAATTTTCTTTTCTGTGCGATTGTTTCTTTGTTTAGCTAAATTTACTGGTGAATATAAATTTACATGTTTTCTTTTTAATTAAAATGATGAAGCAGTCTTACCATATCGTACAACCTTAAGTTAACTATTTTTTTCTAATCTTACTTCATTAATACTAGCCAATATGTAAACCCCATCATTTGGAGACCAACATATGATATCAAAATAAGTGTCGTTGCCGTACTCAAATTAATGAGCCCCTAATATCGGCTAAAGATTTTCGCACTTAGAAAAACATCCATGACCCCAATATCACACATGCTTCTACATGCTTAGTCACTTGAAAGAAGTTATAAGTAATAACGATACTAACATGTAATACTGAAGCGTATTTATTATAATTTGATAGTTCTTTTATGGTGTTACATAGACTCATTAATTAATTATTATTAATTAAATACTGGAATTGTTATTATGTTAAAAATACAACGTTGAACGCAGTTTTGAAAACAACGCTGAGGTCGCTATTTTATTATAGTATCGTAGTATAGTACCTAAGTAGATGGCACCAGCAATATATTTTATATTTATCGATATCTTAACATTAATAATAGAATAATAGAGTAGCTCGGTGGCGTAGTGGATAAGCGCCGCGGCCCGCGATCGTAATCGTTAAGCAACTTTCGCAAAGGTCGGTCACGGGATGGGTGACCAAAAAAATTACTATCTCGAACTACTCCATGCTTCAGAAGGTACGTTAAGCCGTTGGTCCCGGCTGCATTGGCAGTCGTTAATACCTTCCAATCCGCATTGGGCCAGCGTGGAGGATCATGGCTCATCCTCCTTAACCATCCATAAGGAAGGCCTGAGCTCATGCAGTGGGGACGTAAAAGAGCTGGTGGAGGATAATAGAATTATAATTCAAATTAGCCATTTGCGCTAGCGTCAATTATAGCCTACTAGCTTTCCGCCAGCGGCTTCGCACGCGTGGTCTTGTATTATACATAAAAACCATCCTTTTGAATCACCCTATCTATGAAAAAAAAACGCATCAAAATCCGTTGCGTAGTTTTAAATATTTTAGCATACATACGGATATGAGGACAGAGAAAGCGATTTTGTTTTACACTATGTAGTGATGTCCCACCTTACCGTATAATATACATAGTTGCCTGTAGGTGAAAGAATTTTTAAAATCAATCCAATAGTTTCGGAGTTCATTCAATGCCAACAAACAAACAATCTTTCTTCGTTATAATATTGGTTAAGATAACTGGGATATTAATGTGTATTATTTGTTATGTAAAAAATATTTTGCAATAATTTAGAAAAAAAAAAATTATTTAAGGCTTACCAAAATATCCATTTCGACAACGAATAACACGGGAGGTACAGACTAACTGATGTTGTGAAATCTACATGTTGAATTTATAGTCAATTATAGTTCATTAACTTCATAACCAGCGGTATTGTATTTAAAATTAATTGGTAAAAAACGGACAATATTGTTTTTATACGTTCATTGTAAACAAATAGTGACACAAATAACGTGGTATCTAAGGTTTTTTATTAGAAAAACAGATGTTAGGTCCCTTTTTTATTTTCCGATATCTTATATTTTTCATTTCTGTTATTATTACATTTTCATTAAAATTATTATTTTTTCTTGTACTACAATATACACCTAGTTGCACAAACGTCAATCAATATTGACATTAGTTTAAAGCGACATTACCCTTACAAATTTGACATTCATTACAGCTTAAAGGCGTCGTTAAACATTAATGGACGTTTGTGCAGACCGATAGACAATCCAATATGACTAATTTTTACTTACAATATTTAAACATTAAATCTAATAAAAATACAGGGTGATCGCTGAAAATCGGTGCTTCATTTGCGTAAGGTGATTTTAGTGCACTTAGCCTAGACCTTTTCCTTAATAAATGCTGCATACAGGTATACGCAGCTGTACATCAGGCTATATATTGTGGATTTTGTAGCGACCGCGCTTCGTATAGAACTAACAGAGGTCTGCTTACGGTGGTGGTGTGTAGCGTGACATGCGGCAATGCGTACATTTCGATTTCTTTTTGTCATGTAAATGTTAATGTGTGTTGCATTTGTAAATTAAATCTATCTATTTTATGACAAATAGCTAGATTAATAAAGCAAGGGTCGGTCACGGGATGGGCGACTAAAAATTATTATCTTGATCTACTCCGTGCTTCGGAAGGCACGTTAAGCCGTTGGTCCCGGTTGCATTTGCAGTCGTTAATATCCTCCAATCCGCATTGGGCCAGCGTGGAGGGTAATGGCCCATCCTCCTTAACCATCCTTTTTGACTATGGCATGAGAGGCTCAGCGTACAAATGGTTCGAAAGTTATTTGAGAAATAGACAACAGTGTACAGAAATAATAAGAATGGAAAGTAATATCAAAGAAACCATTCGTTCAAATTATCGAAATATAAAAAATGGTGTACCACAGGGCAGCATCTTAGGACCTTTACTCTTCTTACTATACATCAATGACCTCCCTGATATAACCACAAATGACTGTTTCTTATTTGCTGATGACTGTACACTACTGTTTCAAAATAAAAATATTGACCAACTAGAAAACAAAATTAATAACACAATTTTCGATGTAATAGAATGGCTAAACAAAAACAATTTAAAAATTAACATATCAAAAACTAACATAATACAATTTCATACAGCTAAATCTAAAAGAATAAACTTAAATATACATTATAAAAATTCCAATATTGACGTAGTAAGTACAGCGCGGTTTTTAGGCATAACTCTGGATGAACATTTACACTGGAAAAATCACATTGATAGTTTAGCTACAAAAATAGATAAATTCGTTTTTGCACTTTATAGAGTCAGAATAGTCGCTTCTAAAAATATAGCCTTACAAGCATATCATGGATACGTGTCGTCCTTGCTACGTTATGCTGTAATAATATGGGGTAATAGCGTGGATATGAAAAGACTATTTATAGCTCAAAAAAAATGCATACGAGCAATATGTGGTATAAAAAGACGTGACTCCTGTAAGCTATGTTTAAAGAATTAAAAATATTACCTTTGCCTTGCATGTACATTTGTGAACTGTGTTTATTTGTAAAAAAAAATCCACAATATTTTACTAAAGTCAGAGAGATAAAAAAAGACCCACGAAGTTCGAGACAAAATAAAATTGTTATTCCGAAATGTAATTTGACATTATTCAAACAATATTATATGGCTATAAATATATTCAACAAGCTTCCATCGAAACTAGTAGACTTACCGATTAACAGAAACATTTTTAAAAAAGCTTTGACGGAGTGGCTTCTGAACAAATCATTTTACTCGATACAGGAATATTTGGAATGCAAGCAATTTTAGTAGAGTAAAAATCGCTTATAAATAAATAAATTATTATATACAACGACACTATAAATAAATTATATACAATGACATATTTTATAATGTGTATGATAAAATTATTTTGTAATTGACATGGATTTATGTATTAAGCTTAATTGACTTATTATTTTTGTAACATATAAATTGATTCGAATTTTGACATTATTACTATTACTTAATTTTAAACTATAAGACTGAAATAATATGTAATAGGAACTAAATGAAATGTTTTTAAGTGAATGATGTGCGAATAAAATAATATCATAGTTAATGCATGAATAGATTAAAATGTAAATTTATATAACTACTAAAACTATTGCACACTGTCAAACAGTAAATATGTGATACGCTTATTTAATGACATCTGTTACACTATACTTTATGCAATAAATGATTGATTGATTGATTGATTGATTGATCCATAAGGAAGGCCTGAGCCCCTGCAGTGGGGACGTAAAAGGGCTGGTGATGATGGTGATGATTATTTATTCAATTATAACAAAACGGGTATCAAATTAAAGGTGTTTATGAATACATGCCAAAAATATATACCTTGTATACATTTACTTCGATTTTCGGGAGACAGGTCCAACATCGCGCGAGGCGCACGGCACGCCCTGCTTTGGCTTGTAACCAGAGACCACTTTCCTACAAACATTATTAGCTGGATTATTATGCTCTGAAATTATATCATGCGAATTAACAAACCAGTGTTCGACGTAGTCCATTTTAGAGCTTCTACTTGAACTGTAGCACTCTCAGCTTGTAGTTCTAACTCCACCAGCGCGCCGGGCGCTCAGCGGGTGCCTTCTCTTGTTCCGCTTCAATGCTCGCTAATCGTCGAGCATGTTCCAACTTTGCAGCTAAATGTCGTGCTCTTGCTGTTGACGTGGAGCGTTTACTCCCATTAAAATATTGTGCAGAGTGATTTGAATTTGCCACAAATGAGGTTTTTGACGGAGCGGCACTTTTGTTAGGTGTGAATGGATGATGATCAGAAACTTTAGAAACGTTTCCTAACGTGAGGTAGGTGTGGATGACGGCATGTGGGAGCCGATATGGTCGTCCCCGTCTTGGTGAAGCACTACCATTGGGTAAAACGTTGTTGCCCGAATCTGAATTTGCCAATTCACTTTTGTGTATGAATGTGCGTGCTCTGGTTGACCAAGGTACGGTGGATTAAAAAAAAAATTACACTGACCAATTTATTTAAGACATTTTTGTTTCGTTATAATTTATTGAGTGATTTGTTTATAAAGTATATAAAATTCAATAGTTAGAATTGTCTTCATATATAAATCTCCAGTGTCTGTCGTCCAAATCGCTTTCATATTAAGAAACATCCCCATAACATTGCTACGCTAACGTATTTCATGGTTAGAATGAGGTGGTCACAACCCTGGGCTTTAACATGGCATCTCAGCAGTACATTTGTTATCTAGTATTAACTTATACTTATTTATTTTTACACGACAGCCCAAAAAAGAGTGTTGCGTTTAGTGTTAATGTATATACGAGGGTCAAACTGAAAGTTCTTAGAACTGGCCACTTATAAACAATATAATAAAAAAATAATTCTAAAATTTGAAAATATAACTCTTTGCCAATATTACTGAGTATATATTTCATTCATTTGTCATTTGTTTTACGATTTGGCGGCAAATTGAAAATTGTCTGTGTCACGTCATCATGAATTTAACACGAGAAAATTTTCGTGCAATGATTTTTTATGACTTTCGATGTCATTTAAGTCAACAAGAAAGTTATGATAGACTACGATTGGCCTTTCAC